ATGATTAACTATTATTTACTACTAATTAATAGTTGATTAATAAGCAAACCTGCTGTTCATGAAATGACAGTTTTGCCCTAAAAGCACCCATGAATAAAACTCAATCAAGTTCCTCGTCCATTTCATACGCAATATTGATATAATTAATGAGAATGCATTAATATTAAATAATAACGATTTAAAAATAAGAGAAACTGCATACATTTTCACCAAGATATTTCTACAAACATATTAATAATAAATTATGAAAAAATTTATAAGAAAAATATTTCATCCGTGTCTCCTTTTATTCTCTCTTAGTTTTATTTATTTTCTCCGTCTCCACCTCATTCTTGCTTATCCCTTTAACGGGAATTTTTGGAAAGAGCAGAGCGCAGTTTTTGCTCCTATTAGCCCACGAATGCATATTACATCGGCGGTGCTTTTGTCGGCAGGGTCGGCTCACGCGATCCAAGTGTGCGCGCTCTTTTACATCGAGATCGGCACGGCTCGCGCTGCCGGGCCGCGCTTGTCGTGGTGCTCGTAAATCGTTCCGTAATCGATGAGTTACGATTCGCGGCCAGTAAGTAAGAGGAATTGACCGGCCATTCGCCGCTTCGGCGGCCGTAGCCGCCGGAGCAAAACTGATTACCGCCGGCCGCGGCGTGAGTTTGGCAACATTAATTTCGATACGCCCGCTCCTCCGCCACCGTTATACATATTTTACGCGGTCTTTATGATGTGCGACGTAAGTTATACCGCGGAGGAGAGAGAAAGAGAGTGAGTGCAGCGGGACGCGCGAGGAAAAAATCAACGCAGTAAGTGGTTAAAGCCGATGCGTGTGCGGCGGCGCGCGGGACGACGCGGGGCGAAGCGGCTCCGGTAATTTGGGGTGTTTTAGTGCGGCCGGAGAGCCGCGGATACGGCAATAATGGATGATAATGGATTGTCGGCGATAAATAATCGTAACGAGAAATTCATTATTTATAATCTGAATAGTTCTTTGTACGCGTCCAAAGTGGTTAAGTGTACGGAGTTTATCAAAGAAGGAGAATGATAAATGACTATTACAATAAATGTCGCGGCGCACAATGCGGTTCATCAGTGTGCTTTATTACGCCGGCTGCATAATCGTTGCTTATCGACGAGATACGTCGTGTCGTGAATTGATACGAGAAGCATAAAGCGATATTAATTAGAAGATGAAGAAGAGACAGTATCTCGATGCTATCTATCTAGAGAGAGAAAGAAAGGAAATCTCTAATCATGGAGGACCACCGACAGTCATAAATCAGAATCGATGAAATATGATTTATTCGTCTGACGGAAGGCCGACTGGAAGTGGCAAGCGTGTGCGCTACTGTTTCAATAAATAATCCCAAGACATTTTCACGTGTTTGCGCAAGTCGAGGGTCGATATAATCTTGATTAATAACTTCGGCTTCTCTCTGGCCCATGTTCAAATTGAGAGAAATCATTTGAACCTCTAGCCAATCATTGTGTTATTTATAGCCGTGGTCATCACGAATGTACATTCATGCAGAGACATTTGAAATTTCATTCGCTTCGTGCAGTTGTAGCAATATATTATCGTTTACTCATTTTTACGGTAAACGCTCCACTGGACACCGACGATATTTCTTGGGTCGTGGATTCACGGTTTTTTTTTGACATTCAATCTTTCAATCGAGCGTCCCCTCTCCCAATCATCATCGGAGACGGTCAAGACGGATTGCCCAGTGTGGAGAAGCAACCCGCAGCGAGACAAGTCGCTAACGTACACATCGAGTGCATACGCCGCTTAATGCTCGCACCGCGTGCATGGCAGCCGATTTAGAAACGCAGGCTGGGCAGACGGTTCATTCGAACAGCTGGAGTAATCATTTGCGATGACGCGGTTCGATTGAAAACGGTATGCTCGCGCACCGAGAAATCCGCTCAACCGTCAGCCGAGGAAGGGGAGACAGAAAGGTAGCTGGCCGAGACGCGCTGCGAAATTTGCCCAATGTGGGAGAACGAAAATATAAAAATCCGGTTATACGTGGACATATTCCTTCTCTTTCGAGATTATTTAAGCCAAGTCCACCAATCATACGATTAATTTCGCCTTTGTGATCCGTATTAATAGTCGTTACTTGGAGTTTTTCTCACGTGAGATAATCCGATCAGAATTTGGAATTAGATCTGAGTTCAGTCACATAATATATGTATATAAGAACAGTATACAAAATGTATCTGAACTTCACCGACAAACTCGCGGGATAAATTCTACATAAAAAAGTAAGTTTTGGTAAATAAACGTGGTTGTATTTACATAATTATTGATATTATAATACTATAACTTTGAATGTCTAGTTTCTTATTTATTTACAGCACTACAAATATACCGTGACACATCTTTTTATGACCTTGTAACGATAATTGTGAATCTCATCAGAGTCTAATTTAGTACTTCAATTATACGATTTAAACGAAAAATTGAGGTCCAACTTTGACTTGAAGTCTGAATATCTCACGTGAGATAAGTCTCAAGTAACGATTTTTAATAGGGATCTAAATAGCGCGCTCGAATAGGACGTTGCGCGGCAGTAAGACGTCCCGAATATAGAAACGGTATCGCGACCGACGTCTACTGTGCGCACGACCCAGTGATATTTGCACCTCCGGTTACCTCGCGATTTATATCGCGCCGATTAACGTCTCGTTACTCCTTCGACAAAAGGAGATATGTATCGGCGTCAAAACTGACTTATGAAAATGCACGGGGGCGGTATTTATCGAGCGAACGCGCGTATCGCCTCTTACGCAGCGGAACGCGGCGATCTTACGGTCACGGTAACGCGTTAACTGACCTTTCACGATAACGATCCCTATCTGATCCGGTTTTTCAGGCTTTATCAGCTTCATACCGCCTATCTGGTTCACGCACGAAGGCTTTCCGGAGATGTAACTGATTGTTTCGCGGCGGAACGTACGAATGCGACCGAGGCGCTCCGCATTTCGAGTATATCAACCGAGGTGATGCCCCGAGCCTTGCTTCGTCTATCCACTGATGATCGCGCGAAACACTGTGGTTACTGCAGTTTCATATGGTTACTTACGGCTCTACGTATTACCGTAATTCCGCACGAGCGCGTCATGCTCGCGATTACCGTGGCAATTGTAACGCGTCGATTGCGATTTTTCACACATTGACGGATATACTCGTCAGCGGACGAGCCGAGACGTCTCGGCTTCGTGCGGCGCATTCGCGTCATTACACCCGATTCGTACACGAGTAAACGTACGTCGGCGCGTCGCCGATCTCATTACCGGAATAAATCGCGCGTTTAACCGCCGAGGAATCGATTTCGGCGTCGCGATCGCCGGCAAGCGGGTCCCCCTTGTAAATTATAATAAGCCCTAACGTACACCCGGCAATTTATCAGCAACCCCGACAGTGCACGCGAAGATACCCCGCTGCGTACACGCGCCGTCCTCGTCTTCCGCCCCCCGTCGTATAATTACGTTCTTTCGCGCGCGACGAAAAAGATGATGCCGCTTCCGAGGTACCAGGCCGTGTGGTATTCACTTAGCTCCATTCCCAAAGATCGTCGAGAGTCTCTTGAACGAGGGAAAATCGATCGGCTTCGAGTCGGGCGACGAGGAGAAGACGGCGAGGAGGCGCGAGGAGACGCGCTGGAAGAAAAGTACAGAGAGGAAGGGAAATTATTCAAATTCACCCGGCGGCTTAATCGCGTGCTGTTCGCCATATGCATGTAGGTAAATATTAAAGCCGCCGAAATTGCATTGGCCGAGAGGTGGACTCGCCATTTTTGCGGTGTCCTCGCCTCTGCCTACGGCGGCCAATCGCGGTCTGCAGCTTAAAAACGGTATCTTCGAGATGTACTTGCGACAGGTACGCTCGCCGGCCGATGAACGGCGAGACAGAAAGAGAGAAGCGACTTCCAGGGAGGCCTACACCTGGTGGCTGGAATACGCGACCACCTATCGCGGACGACTTCGATTACCGGTCGCTGCGTGAAAATTAATGACGGTGTAATAAATAATATTGCGGTATTATTATTAATATTACGGCAAAAAGGGGCCACGCATACACAGCACAATCAGGGACGCGAGGCCCGGTAATCATACGCATCTCCCTGCTCTTTATGGCATGGGATAATTATATATTCAACAGTGAGAGAGAAGATCGAAGCGGCACTGTTGGCCCGCGGAATTCGATGTTTTGCACTTATGATAATATTTCATTCTCGCGGGAGGGAATAAAAGGATTTCGCGTGACGCTGCGGTCTTTCGGGTGTCTCGGCTACTGAATCTCAATGTCCATTGATATCATGATCGTCTCGCGGTAAAAATTGTAAGTAGCAGTTGGTGCTCTCCCGCGCGCCGTCTGGCAACGGTACGTAAGAAATACAACGTTGATTTGTGCGGAACAGTCCGCGAGCCACGCGTAATTGCGATTACACGAATGGCGTGCAGCAGCCTTTCAAGATTAATCACGTTGATGAATACCGCTGTGATTCGTAGCGACGAGCAGCTCTAAATACGAGAAAATTACCTTTATAAATCCACGTCCGCGGGCCGAGAACTTGCTACTTGATTTAAATCAGCTGGCGAAAAAGGAAGCAACGGAAGTCGGATATCGTTAACGTTCAGTGATTGAATAATCACGTAGTACCACGATGCGTCGCTAAGACGTAATAAATGATTTCGTAATCTGTTACGGGGCATTGGTCGCGAGCAAAAATAACACGCGTGTTCACTTTGAAGTGCACTGAGAAAAAGGCACTTCAACATTTTCTGTGAAATAAATCTTATATCCCACGGATAAATTTTTAAATATTTTTTCCCTCAGTTCACAGACGCTATAATTGGTTTTCACATCGAATTTCCTGAATAGTTTGAATGAGATTCCAAATTTATTTCAGATGCAGGTCGAAAACTTAAATAAATTAAGAAATTAATGTTTCGATCAATGAATTAAAGAAATTAATGAAATAAAATACAGTTTCGCTCACCGAGAATATCGTTGACGCATATATGGAGGTCTTCTCGGAAAATTGGTAAATCAAAGTTGCACTGGCACGTGCAGGAACTGTTCGGCACAAGAAGACTCGAACCTGAGGAACTTCGGGAATAAGGACTGGCGGTACCGCTGCTGAGCACCGTGCAGGCTTCCGTGCAAGAACCTGTAAGCAACGTTTAAACAATTTAAAGAATCCAAGGTTTTTCATTCTAAAGTTGATTCTCATGAATCTGTGATTAATTGAAACTGTTGTGATTGACAATTAACTCAATCGCCAGAGCCAACATGGAGAAAATAAATTACGATGTGCGACGAAAACGAGAAAGTTCACTTGCTCCTTCGTTGTAACTGTTTTATAACCTCTATTGTTCAAATAATTATTCTCTGTCTTGTGAACATGAATAGAATTATTAATTTTGTTTCCTTGTCGGCCGACGAATTACATTGTTAAGTTGCCGTTGGCAAATCTGCTAGTTAAAATTCGATTAACTCAGCAATAAATGAGCAAACATAACCCTAAATAATTTTTCGTTTATCCATCTATGTTAAAATTTCCGATCTTAATTAAAGGATACAGAATATATAGAAAAACAACATACCAACTCATAAGAGCACGCTGTATAAGAGTAACCTAATAGACCTACGTGTGTATTGTTTTGACGAGAAACACGTCATTCCAACGGTCAAACACGCACATACGTGTCCGCTGCCATTGATTGCAATCATTAAAGAGGAGTGTAATAAGGAGCAGTTGCGCGCGCATTATTCAGTCGTGCTGAACAATGGACCAATGAGAGAACTCGTTTTTGAAAAACATGTCTCTCATTAAACCGCCAGTTGCAACCTGAACTGCATCGAGAGAAAAGACAACCTTTCTGCCCACAACCGTTCATGAATTTTCCAGACTTTTCGGCTTTTCATACATAAAATTGCGCTTTTTCGTAAGTATAATCGTTAATATATTAGTTAAACTGAATAGCAGCTTACATGTCGACATATCTTATATGAAACATTTTGTATGACAAGAACGAGGTCGCCGGTTTTAAAGGAAAGATTTTTATGTCTCACACAATATTATCAATTTGCACTATTAATTGGTAAATAAAAATGTGTCCTTGATCATCAATTTATATTTACATTGTATTAGAAATATTGACTTAAGCATCTGAATAATAATCCATGAATACGAATTAATTTACATTTTGAAGCGTCTTATAAGACGCTATCAATCCGATATCTTAGAAATTATTATTATGACATTTAAAGAATTGCTACTAGCAATTATTCCCTAATAATGGTCAATTAGTTTAATTGTCATTTCGCGAAAGCAGTTCTAAATAATTTCTCCAATATATATTTATATCGGAATTACCGATCTTAATCTTCAAATATATATTTATATCAGAATTACGGACACAGAGTATGCAATTGAAATATCGTACGATAATTTTAGAGCACTCTATACATAGAAATAACGTACACATGAGTCTTTATATGGTTTGTCCTTTTGAAGGTCGCGCGACCGCCGAACAGTTACGCGATACACGCGAGTGTGTACGTGCTGCCACCATTATTGCAATGGACGCGAGAGGGAATGTATCGGCAGAGGATCGCGCGCGATATTTTCGTGCGTTTTCGCGCCCATTCGGCTGTTCGTAAGTGAAATTACGTTACTTCGCGAGCGTGTTTCATCACGTCGAAACGATCCTAAGCAACGGGAACATGGTAAAACTTTTTGCGCACGATATTTTCGTGAGTTTTTCGCGCCTATTAGGCCGTTCGTAAGTGAAATTACGTTACTTCGCGAGCGTGTCCAATCACGTCGAGACGATCCTAAGCATCGGGAGCGTGGTAAAACTTTCACAGGTTGATATTAATATTCCACTAATTGTATTTCAAATAGAGACATTTTCAAAGTCTGTGCCAAATATTTCCGTATTTTTCATTTGTTGATATGGAGTAATCTCTCTACCGCTAGAATCAATCGAATAAACTACTTTTTGTTTCATATCTGGCAGAGTTCGATCGATTTCTGCGTAGTTCCAGAGGATGCCGAGATGGACAGTTCCTGGGAACACGAATGCTGCACCGGAGGATCCGGTTCAGGTCGAACAGGATCGGCTCGAAAGTGAGTTTACAGAGTTTCTTTATCCTGAATCTTTTGCCTTGAGAAGTAAAATATTAGTGACTGGGTGAAGATCATTAAATTTTGACAATAAGTCAATACCTTTCGTGCTTAATCTAACGCTTTTTCTCATATTTACGTGCGTGTGTTTGTTAAGCCTTTATGTGTCTTCTAAATCGAATTAATATTGTTTTGTCTTAGATTTGGATGTAAGATATGGCTGGCCGTAAGTTGTGGCACAGTGGTGAGTCAAGAAATTGGACATGGAAATTTATAGGTGATGGATTTACAGATAGTAGATTCAGACAGCGTAGTATTCAAAATTGGGACATGAGACGTCTTTAAGGTGTCTCATGTCTTATGATTTTGGACTATCTGATTGTACTATCTGAATGGTTATTTATGAAATTCGTCAGAGTCAATTAGATTTGCATTAGCTTATAATTTTTGCATATATTTTTCATAAGTTCATCAATTAGGGAATCGTTTATATTTAAATCAAATTGCAGGATTGTATTGAACTATTATTTACCACAATTATAATAGATCTATTATATATTAATGATGATATATATATTATAACAGAACTATGTCAACAAAAATTATAGCAGAAGTACATATTATATTTGTAATGATTATAACATAGAATTATATTAACAACAATTATAGTTAGAATTATTACATGAACAATAATTCTAACAGAATATACAGTGATTCCCCGATTGTTTTAAACGATAAATAACGCACAGCAAAATTACGTGCGTAATTCGAGATTATTTCGTCTTCGTTGATGCAATTGTCACGATTATTAATTTTTTCACGTTGACTTCGAAATCATTGCAATTTGTAACTTACAATTTGTTTATATACAACATCTCGTACTAAATACATTACTATCGGGTTCGAGACATCAAATAAATTTATAGATAACATTTTAAGAAAGATCAAATTTTGCCGAGGAACTCGATATATTTCCGAAACGCCGTTAAGACGTAAATTTTATTCGTGTCGCGAGTGAAGAGAGATGGGAAAGTGTTGGACAGCGTCTAACACCTATTTAGGCGACGTGGGACGATGTCACGAAATTCCGGATTCTTGAGAAGGACGCGGTTTGGAATGCAGCAGTGAGATTCGTTGATGGACTAGAACTTGGACCTGGCTGGATCTGATTGTACATCGCTCGACAACGCTGGACTTCATCATGAATTAGTGAATGTTTGTAATTATGACGCTCATGAAGCAACTTTAATATCCGTAATGCATGCGTAGACGCAAATCATTGACTACTGACGAATGAAATAGAATCATTGATATACCAATTAAATCGAATAACAATTTACGTTGAATATACATTGATGCGTTTTACATGACATTAGCAATCTGCAATTTTCTACATTATGAATTTATATTCTGACTCATTTTACATGACACTATCAACCTGCAATTTTATATCTGGTCATTACAACGTGTCTCATATGACGCTCTCAATCTGATATCTTATCACAAACATACACTTATTAATTAGCTTTACAAATTATCTTGCTTTACCTCATCTCGTTCAACCGCGTAATTGTAGTTTTGCTGATGCTGGTTATCACGTTTTTCGCGTTGTATACGTCAATACGTATTATTTTGCGAATATACGTTGATCGATACATCCGCGTGCGTGTATGTATGTCGGTAATCAATAACTCATTCATGTGCCAAACTCGTTTCGCAAGTACCTCTCGGTGATAAGCAACTCTCGAAAAGACGTATAGTCGTGGTTGAAATTTGCACGTTCTGATCGTCAGGACGCGCCGTATAATCCAAGCGAGCAAGGACAGGTCAGACAGCTGTCAAACCGTTACATCGTAATTTCACGGTTAATCCGTTACAAACGCTCCTTTTTTTTTATTCTTCTTTCATGCAGCGGTTGTGTCACGATTTCGCGCAAAATCGTCCTGTAACACGTTCGGTACCTCTCGAATCCGTATCATTATGCTTTCGTGTACCGGAAAATCACGCGGTACTTTTGCGCCACGCCACTTGCGCGGATCATGCTTTACGAGTCCACTTCTCAAAAACCGAGGCAGATTACCGAAATGCAACGTGTCATAACAAGTCACCGTTTTACGTTATTTACATTGCAAAGAGACCGTTAATAGATATCGAAGCGATGATTGAGGATAGAACACAGGTACACAAAAATCCTGTTTCGAGAGAACTGTTTCAGAATTGTTTACTTCATCGCGTATAAATGTATTTAGCGGGCCAATTATTATTTTATCAATTGCGTGTCAACTGCAGTTGCAGTTGCTTTCGAGTGTCCTGTGCAACGAGATAAAATATTTTCGATATCGCGATCCGCTCAGTTATTGCCTCGTGTGAAAAAAGAATCATCGCGATTTTATATTATATCTTAAATATTTCTTTGAATAGACTGGCACAATATGCCAAAATAACAAATTAGATTAGCGTTAGTATAATCGTACACAGAGAAAAAGATTTCTTTGGATTTAATAAAATTTCTTTAATTGAAGTAAATTTGCCTTTTGGAATAGAATACGATTCTTTTATTGAAAACGATGTCTTCTAAATAATACTGTTATTTCTATTAAACAATATGGTTTATTCTATTGAAACAATAACATTTTCACTCAAACAAAATGATATTTGATATTAACTTGTGTTATTTATATTAAACAAACCCAAGCCAAACAAAAGCGTGTACTAATTCCAAAGAAGCCTTTCTCTGTGTACCGTAACCAATTACGGTTCCTTCGACGCCATATTTACCTTCGATAGTAAAGATATCTCCATCGGTGTGTCTGATGACCGACAATTCCTGGCAGTAGGCGACTTGTAGGAGGTAGAAGTAGCTCGCGAGAACGAGAGCTAGCGGACGCATCTTCCCCACAGCATTCTGCAATGACAAATAGGTAGCGGGTCGTAAATAATCGAGCGCGATACGCTGACGATTGGTGGGATTTTACGCGTTTCGTTAAGAACACGCGCAACGACGCGACGTTCGAAGCTACGACCGGCCAATAAGTCATTGAAAATATCCTGAGAATTAATAGCCTCTTAATTCCGCGGGATTACATAAGAGAGAAGGAGAGAGAGAGAGAGAGAGAGAGAGAGACTTCCGGCAAGTACCCATTTATGGTATCTTGCCGTCGTCGGCTGATCTTCGTTAAACACTAGCGTTTTTATATACTTATCGCGGAAATGTTAACAACACGTGTCGTTTATCAACAACGCGGATCCTCATTACAAGGAGATCCTCATTACGTGAATTTAATCACTGCATTATCTCCCACGGTTATTTATTCACGGTTGTGTGATAATCAGTGCATACACGGAGAAAAAGATTTCTTCGGATTTAATAATATTTCTTTAAGTGAAACAAATTCATCTGTTGGAATAATACGAACAAACGAATGTTTGATCCAACAAATAGGATTTTTTGGCTTCTGAAACAATAAATATCTTTACGTCAAATAACATACTTTTGTATTTTCATCCAAACACTATAATGATCGTCATAACCAATAAATTATTTGAGACAAGTAACACTATGTTAGAAAAATATTCAAGAACTCAGTGGAATATTTAATAAATATGAAATAATGAAATAATTTTTCTTTTTATTGAAAACGAAATATTTCCTCTAAATAATGCTGTTTCTTCGGTAAACAACATGTTTTATTTTGGTGAAACAATAGTTCCATTCAAATAAAATTATATTTAATATTAAATTACGTTATTTATATTAAACAAACCCAGATCAAATAAACGTATATTAAATCCAAAGAAACCTTTTTTTCCGTGTATTCGCAAGCGTTCACATGTTCTACGCAAGAGGCGCGAGCGTGAAGCTCACGAGCGGTGTAAACCGTGAAAATCGAAAGAAGGATAGGATGCGGATGCTAATTCAGTTATTAGAACCATTAAAGTAATAATTTTAAATTCGCCGGAGCGTACGACCGGTTCGTAAATGTTATGATTACGGTCGTTAAGTGAAATTGCAATTAACCCTGAGAAGCCTTGGCACACGAATCGTACGTATGATATGCCTCCCCTGAGTTTTTTACGTCTCGTAATTGATATCGGTATCGATGGTAAGCCGAGAAATTCACGGGACACAAATCGTCCCGTCTCTTTAATCATCATCCGATCGTAGCGACTCTAATCGGCTGGAACCTGATTTTTTACCGCGAATCGCAAACGCAATATCTGTCAGTACTCGTTAATTCCTGCTGAACTGAACGATCGTCGGGATTAATTGTAATTTGCAGCAAGTCGACGGTTTCTCTGGTGTAAGTAATAGGTCATTTACCAACGATTGCCTCCTCGTCAGAATAATATCATCAGTCATTTCGATAAACAGACGCAACTAGTAGTTTCGGTAATATCAGTCACCCATTGCATATATTGTAGTGAGAGGAAAAAAAAGGGGGACGGTTTGGTTCATCTCTCTCCGATCAGAGAAGAGAAACGGCGGGACGCGATTGTCGCGATTAATCAAGCCGGTAATTGACGCGTCGTCCGTGAACACTTGTCCGAAAACTAATGAGATATTCGGCGTTTGCGTAATTTCGTCGTTTGTCACGAGTGTACCCCGTGCTCCCTCGACATCCATCTTTCACGCGAAGCTACGAGATACGATGAAACATAGGCGTGACCTTGTGAAGATGTCCGATTATCAGATTTTATGGCGGCGTTGATTCACTTAAAGTAGTTGATCCGGGTTTTCAGCGACAATATTAAGGGGCCTCTACATTAACATGCAACTAAAATTTATAAGGATTCCTAAAAAACGTGTTAATTTGCATCGCTCGCGAGCTTGAGAACTTGAAATTTTTACTCTGACGATCCATCGTTGCTGCAAGACGCAACCTCTCTACCTTCTTCCTTCCTGTTGCCTTGGACTCGTGTATCATGCTCTTCGTAATCATTTTACATAGGCCGTTTGTTTCCGAAGAATTTAATAAGCGTCGTAGGTGACTGGTTACTTTTCCACGGCGGAGTAACCAGTCTCTCGGTAATCTTCTCGCATCCTTAAGGCATATACTCGCGGCAGGTGTTGGAAATTGCGCTATCACGATTATATTAATCGGCCGATGAGTCATATCCAAAGTCAGACTATTGAATCTTAACACGTGATTACGCCGCGACGTTAGGCAAATGCTAACAAGCGCGCGCGCGCGTCTCGTAATTACAGCGCAAACTCGCCGCGAAATCGTGTTAATAACGTATTTACAGCGAGAGCACTCCGACGCGCCTCTCGCGTCGCGCACTCAACCGGATTGCACGCTTTGATTAAATTTCCTATCCGCCACGTTCGTCGTCTTGTAATTACTTGGACGTACGCCTGAAGCACCTCTCTCAGCCGTCGAAGAGCGGGAGGGGAAGAAACGATTGCGGGACGTTAACGTTCGGGAAAATTGGCTTTCTTTTTACGAAGTGGCGTTTGACGGAGGTAGGTCGTGACGAAACGAGGCGACAAAAATTTCGTCGCAACCGCGATAGGTGAGCGATGAGCGAGCGTATTGTAAATTTACAGCGACAACGGAACCATAAAATCGACAGCTTTCGCCTTGAAATTGGTCGTTAGAAGGAAAATATGGCGTTCTTCGCGTCCGGTATTTCCGTCGGCGATTTGGTGGCCGCAACGGGCGAACTACCAGTTTCTCCCGAGGCGAGTTCGTTGAACGAGCGCGTCGAAAACGGGCAACTCTTCTTGAAGAGAGGAAGGTTCGCCGAATCCCTGCAGTCGCCGATAAAGTCCGCTGGCCAACGAACCACGACGTCTATAAATCTCTTTTATGATGAACGTAAATGCCGGTCCGTTCTTAATTATACGCAAACATATCAGTCGCGAATCTGTTTCGAAAATCTCAATACATCGGCAATAAATTCGCATAAGCCGTTGTCGTCTTAATGGCATGCTATTGCCTAATTTTGTTGACCGACAAGATTATCGGCATCGCCGCGAGAATCCGTCATGCTCGCTTTGAATCTACAAAGAAAACATAAAAAAATATGTTAGCTCCGATTGAGCAAGTATTGTTCATAATGAAAAATGAAAAATTACAAGTTACATTGCATTTAAAAGTGGCACGAAAAATTTGGCAGTAATCCAAAGCCTGGATCAAAAGTCAATCCACTTTGAAAGTAGTTGTGAGGTGAAATGAGTTTGATAAGAATACAATGAAACTTGCATACATTACGTATACATTGGAATATTATTATTACCTAATTTACTGCTCGTACAATTAGAAATAGATTGACCATTCGAGAACTGTGATATTTATAACTAAAGTCGACACTCCGTGTCTTCGTCGCTCTTCGTTCACTCTTCGTCGAGTCGTGAAAAAAAAAATTGACATCAAAAATAAAAAAACAAATACTTTAACTACATTTTAGCTGTAAATAGAAACGACAAATAGTGACTCGCATTATGGAGTGTAGGGTGTAGTTGAAGGTTAATAATACGTTAACGCGCATACAATGCATGATCGCTCACGAGAGCGCGTCGGCAGGCGCAATGGACAGGTTGTCGACGCAGCGATGCGTCTGCGTCGGGGAAGGTGCCATTTCGCCGGAAGGTCGACATAGCAGGAAGTACAAGCTCCGTGCCTCCTTTACTGCGCTCGCGCCGGCACCTGCGTCTGGACACATCCGATTGTGTCGCGTTCCGCTGCACCGGCCGGCACGGCACCGCGCACGTGGTGTTATCTTACGCGTGCCATCGGCTCGATTGTGCATAACGTTAAGTTGAGTCCGGTGCCCGGCGGTGTTTCTTGCTCTATTGGTCTACCGGCGCGTTATACGCTCGCGCTCCGACGGTGTAATTTATATCGATTCGGGGAGAGACGTGGCGACGTCTCCCCCTAAGCTCTCGCATTATGTCCTGCAAGATCTGCCATATACACGATGTATCTGCGGCCGGCCGACACAGTCTTTATTGGAATTTCTTCTAGCCGCTCGCGAGCAAATTCCTGCCGCGTGATATCGCGACCGATCGCGCTTTTCTTTTTTCTCTACGTCTGGGACGTCGCACGCGTGGGGTACATCGCGGTATATCGCGGCACTAATCTAGCGAGACGACTCGTCGCATAAGAGATTGCAGTCTTTACGTGAAAGAAGGCTGCGAGCGCAGGACCGTGGGATGTAGCGTAATGATACTTGATAATGATACTTGATCACGTTATAATAACGATTCCGTTGCCATTTTCCTTTCTTATAATAACGCAACGATATCTTAATAACGTTGTAGTTAATAACGTTCATTTGTAATGTCGTAATTATTACTCGCGACGGGAACAAGCATCGAGTTGAACTTTATAAGCGCCAATGGTTCGTAACATTATTCGATTTCTAATTTTAATCTTTGTTTAATTCTGACTTCGATTGCCGCCTCACGTGGAACCACTTTCTTCTGCGTCGAATCTTTCCGTCTCTAGCCATTAACTGATAATCAAGTGTTAAATTTTATTGCGAATCGGTCGTTGACATTTATCGCCATAAAACAATAAAGATAATGAAAATGTCAAGAACGCACGCTCGATTCCTACTGAAATGACTACTGCGACTTTACGATTTCAAGCGGGAATCGGCGATGAGGAAGACACGACGCGTTCGATAACCCGCTCGGTGTGACGAATCCATACCAACGTATGTTTTCAATGACGGATTACGGTGATTTAGATAGCACACACCATGCATACTTTCGCAAATGTCATGAAGTATTTCGTAATAGTGCCAACGGTTACGGTCGATGAGCAGAACGATCGCGAGATAATGATGGAAAGCGGCGATTTCCACCGTCGGTGACATGAATATTGAACGGGCTGATTTTTCATCGTCGCGTGTAATCCGCGAAAGGGCCTCTAAACGTAACAT